TGGTTAGTTTTAGGTGTTAACTTGGAGGGTATTTTGGATGAGATTAACATTTAAATCGGTGAATTTCTTGGTAAAGCAGGCTGTCCTCCATACTGTGGGTGGGCCTCATCCAATCAGCTGAAGGCCTAAAGAGAATAAAAACTGACCTCCCTCCAGCAAGACAGCGTTCTCCAGCAGATGCCTTCACACGGAACTGCACCGTTGGCTCTCCTGGGTCTCTGGCCTGCCGGTTCACACTACAGATTTTGGACTTGCCAGCCTCCAAAATCGCATGAGCCAGTTCCCTACAATATGTCTCTTTCTCTCTATGCACACATCTTACTGGTTCTGTTGCTCTGGAGAACCTGGACTAATTGACCTGATGGAATGATGATGGAAATTCATCCCCCTGAAGGGGCAGACGTGGCAGAGTTTTCATGGAGGGATCTTATGGAGGCACCTCCCGGACTCTAAATATGGGAAAACCTTTCTCTTCACTCTTCCTCCATTCTGTTCTGTTTTCCCAGGTTCACAGCCAGCCAGTCTGATTCTCTCCATAGACAAGGATGGGAAGAGTCAGTCAGGTGGGCTGGTGCCAAGGGGTGCACCAGGGAGCTGGGTCTTCACTGCAGCTAAGAAGCAAATATGATTGAAGGGCAAATGACCCAAGGGACCAGAGGACCAGTTCAAACTTCAGGTCCAAGAGCTATGACCTAAGTTATGTAAGAGGTGACGCCACAGTTCAATCGGGAGTTGAGGAGACGGGAATAAGTTGGGAAAAGGCACAGAAGGGGGAGTTTCAAACATTGGGCTGCAAACAAGAAAAGAGCTGGGCTCAATTTTATTGGGTGCAAGGAATGCAGCAGAGGGCGTGGTGGCTGCTTAAAGGCACAGGCACGCCAGTGCTGAGAGCAGAGAGAATATTCAAAGCCCAGCTCTGCTAGCCGTTAGCTCTGTGTGTGACTTGGTCAAATCACTTACCATCTTTGTGCAAGAGAGTAATAAGAAGCCACTCTACAGAGGTGTTGTGTGAATTAGGAGATGATATGGAGCATTGGACCTGGTACCTAGCACACACTGAGGATCTTCTCAATCACCTCAGTTCCCTTCTCCCTTCACGGACACGTCAATCGACCACATGTTCAATAAAACACATCTGTTCTGAGCCAGCCTTCCCCTTTCCCTTTTAGTAGTTAATGTGTTCGAGGATGCAGTCTGTAATCAGCCTGATGAGGCAGGGAAAAAAAGCTCACTTGGAAATCTTTATTAATGATACTATATCTCTACCATCATCTTCTCTTTCAGCCTAGATCGCTGATTTCATTTTAGCAATTTAAGTACTACTCTTGGTCCTATTAGCAATCCCAGTTATGCAAAGGGAAAGTTGGTACAGCAATTTTCACTCAGATTCCTGCCTGGGTAAGATTTGTGATACAAGGGGTGAAAAGAAAAAGAGAGAGAGAGACAGAGACAGAGACGGAGAGAGGGAGAGGATGTAGTTGAAGTTATCCCATCAGTAGCCAGAGGTCACAGCCAAGCATGGAAAAAACGTCCTGCAGAAGGATATGTGGCACAGACTGCTGGTTTCCAATCCACTACTCATTTCCCCTTCGGTTAAAGCATTCCGTATCTCTTCAGACTGGAAATGTACACAGCTGAATGATCACATCTCCCAGCCTCTTCTGTGCTAGGTTCAGCCTCCTAATGAAATTCTGAGTGGAATTTCTTGGGTGAATCTATCACAAAGGGTCCTTAAAAGGGAGCCAGCTGGGGCCCACCTTTTGTCCTTCCCTCTGCATGGACAAGAGGTGAGATGGCTGGTGCTCTAGAAGCTGTCAAGGATCACAAGGCAACTCTGAGGACAGAGGAGCCTGGTTCCTTGAAGACTTCATGACACTGTCATCCCAGCCCTGGACTACCTACTCCAGATCTCTCTTACATGAAGGAATACACTCTTCTGTGTTTGAGGCACTGTGACTGCGTCTCTGTCACTAGGATATGAATGCAATTAATAACTAACTCAAAATGATTTCATCTCAATCCACATTTTGCCTTCTCCAGCCAACATGTTGGTCTAGACTGTGATGAATCTGAGGATGGCTGGGAAGTAACCTCGGTAAGTTTACTGAGGGGAAATCCGTAATTATGGTGCCCTGATGTAGCAGGTGACATCCTGAGCTGGCAGGAGGAATTTGGGACAGACCCCAGCCAACTGTAATCTAACTCCTTCTTACAGTGGTCAGCTAAGAAAGAAAAAGAGGACTGTTTATTGAGTGTAAGAAAATCCCCATTACTTCTTGTACCCCCCAAACCCTTGGTCTCAATCCTGGTCACTTTCACAGTTGGGGTAATCTGGAAGGATGTGGCTGATGACAGCTATGATGTTAGAGACACTTTTATTTGACTACTAATGTCACTTCCCCACTGCGCAATCTTTGTTGCTTGTTCAAAGGGGGAGGAGTTCAATTTATATCTCAAAGCATCATCAGCTGGAGGAGGTGGGTATAGCTCAAGGTGGTAGAGTGCATGTTTAGCATGCATTAGGTCCTATCCCCAGTACCTCCTCTTAAAAAAGTAAATAAATAAATAAACCTAATTATCCCCCCCCCCAAAGTATCACCATCTGTATAAACAAGAAGTACATCAGTGCAGCCTGGCTGGGCTCAGTCTCCTTACGGTGATGTTTTGTTTTCACTAGAGCAAGTCCTTGTATTAGTGACTGATCTGTCACTGAATTCAGTTGTTTCATCCTTAAAAATGCCCTTTTCTTCCAGATCCCATAGCGAATACCCTAAACCAGCTCTTGTAACTCATGCTAGGATTCCTGCAACAGCTTTCCAACTAGCCTGCACCTCTAATCAGTGCCAGACTCCCTTGCCTGAAAAACTACTTTCCATGTCCCCCACTTCAGCTGAAATGCTTCTCAATTTCCCATTATCCTATGATTGAGTTTTAAGGACACCCAGAACCTAGTCCCAACCTGAATTTCCTCCTTCCTCTGGTCACATTCTGCTGACTGTCAGCAAGCCCTGCCTTCTTGCTGGGAAGCAGTGCTGGGTGGCTCTCCTTTGCTGTGCCCCTAGTCATCCCAAAGCCTAGTCATCTTAGGGCAGGGGTGGGGTAAGGGCTGTGAAGGGGCTGGGAGGGAGTAACAGAAATTATTCAACACCTACTATCTGCTTCCTTTTCCATAATTCTATTCAGTAAAGGTCAGGCCATTAAGTGTAAAGCTTCCCTAACTTCTATACAGGGAGAATTTTACACAATTCAGCATTGGTTTTTCAATTGTTGAGAAAGCAGTTGATACTTCCAGTTTATTAGATATTAAACACTGCAGGAAAGAATTTTCTGTTGTACTTCTTTTATGTTCTACCAACAAGCACTCAAGACTTGGCCGCTAAAGCTCGGTAATCAACAAAGTATGAACTTCGGGTCCTAATCCCAACTCTTTCACTTATTAACTGTGAGACCAGGGCAACCTGCTTAACCTCACTGTGCTCAAGAACTGTCTCCTGAAATCAGCGATACCTACCCTAGGAGTGAAATAAGGATAAATGTATGTAAACCATGCAGCGCAGTCCTGTTACATCGTGGGGGTTCAGTAACACTATTATCCAGGCCTGGCGGAGGTCCCAAGGTCAGCTCACTAGGAAAGGTCACTCCGGGCAGCTGTTGGAGGGGCACTGGCCCTACATCTTATCAGCTGCGCCAGGGCCTCACCAGCCCGCTGGGGCGCTCCGACGCAAGGAAGGAAACTCGAGTCTTTCCTTAGTGGAGGTCGCAGGACCCCGCGGCTGCCCAACACACCGCAGCAGGAAAGGGGCGGGGACTAAGCAGCCGGCGAATCCCCAGCTCGCGGTGGTGGGTAGAGCCCTGCACCTCGACCCGTAGGGCGGGTCCCTCGCGGGGCGGGACAGAGGGACGTACCATCTCACGCCAAGGGGGGGGGCGCTGCGGCCTTCCCTCTTGGCGACAAGTCCAGAAGCGCGGAAAGGGGC